ATAATAATAATAATAATAATAATAATAATAATAATAATAATAATAATAATAATAATAATAATAATAATAATAATACATGTAATAATAATGATAATAGTAAATAATGAATAAGACTCTTGCTATACTGTAACATTTGTAAATAATAACAATAATAACAATAATAACGAATAATAATAATAATAATATTAATAATAATAATTATAAGAATGAACGGGCTAATAACAACTACATCAACAACACTTCCTTTGCCATTACTATTATTTCCGCTTGCCCCCCCCCCCGTTTAATGTAGAATTGCTGAATTTCAAAATCGTTTTAATACATCCTAATTAATCAAATTTTAATTAATAATAACAATAAAAATGATAATAATAACTAGTTAGTTATGTTATTAAATTATTATTATTATTATAATCGATTTCACAAACACAAAAATCTAATACATATATCGTGATAACTACAAAATAATAATAATAATAATAATAATAATAAGCGTGTTTTGTAGTATGAACAGCAGCGAAAACTCTGATAGTGAACTTTTTGCAGATTCTGAAAGCGAAGCATTAACAACTTCATCATCATCTCTAACAGATACATCACCAACTAGTCATTCTTGTCACTCTCCAAAAGATATTCATTATACATCATCATCATCTTCCTCTAATATTCCGCGGAACTCATCAAACAACAGTAGCAAAAATAACAACAATAATATGTCATCGTCACAGAATAGTCGATATGGAAGTCGTCCGAAGGGAAGCAATATAGATCTTAAAGGATTTCTCAATCTTAGTAAAAAAGAGTATTTCAAATTGAGGGTATTTATTCAAAGATTTTTTCATTTTGATCTTTCTATATAATAAATAATTTGTTATGGCTAAATTAAATAGAAAGTAGCTCAAGATGCTATGAAATCACGTTTCAATTTCGACATGACGTTTAGTCAACAAGATCCAGAAAAGAAAATGGCTGTTTTCGAGGCGGTAAATACATTAAGAAATATATATATGAGAGATCGTTTGTTTGCACGATAGACTCAAAATTTTTGCCATCTTTCACAGATTTATTTGGAATATTCACATTATAGGTCATGTGTAAATAATTGGATTGCTCGTGAAGTTTCAAGGAGTGTGTTTTTCGCGCATCAACAAGTTATACGAAACAGAAATAAGGTAACAAATGATTTATCATATATATTAAAAATAAATGTACACGCTAGCGAACACTTATCATTCTTTAGGCATTTTCTCAGCTACTCTTGGAAGATAATGATACACGTGATAGCTATTCGCTGAACAAGAGACCACATCAAATATACACGGATACTTCGGACGAAGATCCTACAAGCCAATGTAAAAATTGAGGACTCTCAAATTGTGTCATTTTCATATTTATATCTCATTTTAAGCAACCTCTTATTCTAGCTTCACAGAGTACACCTTATAAGTCAAAGAAAAATAAATCAAGCCATAAAACAACAAAATCCACACAATTCAATTCTCAGGCATCGTCAACATACACAAGTCAAACGCCCACTTCAAATCTTAATCATAATCAGCAGACTTTATTAGATCGTATACCCGAACCTGGAACAATCGGTAATTTCGATATTTTATTCAACTTAAAAATTCTTTGTTTCGCTTGTATTTTGTGTATTGATAGTATTTTAATATAAAGTTGAAGGGATTGATTCTAACGGCGACGAATATTCCGAATGCATCATGAATCAAGAGATCCGTGTAATCACTCGTTCGATAGTCTTACGAATAAACAAGAGAACCGGTGAACAACAGCAATTCGAACGAGAGTCCGAGCAAATAATGACGAAAAGTTAAATTGAATTCTGTTATATAAAAATCATTACATTTATTTACAATGTAATATTTATCATGTAACATTTTTGGACTGCCGAAAAATATGCCAATTCAGGGATAACGATAAAAATAGATTATTTCATCTTTTCTTCGCATATGCATGTATTTCTCTTACTCATCAACATACAATAGACGCACAAGCTATAAATAAACTATTGAAGTGAAAAATACAGTACCTACTCAATTTTTTGCTAATTCTACAAAAACGACATACATGTAATACATGTACGTAAACATAGATAAAAATTATATCAATTTGTAGTTTAAGTTTGCATAAATATTTTTGCAAAATTCAGATTTTTACCATTTATAAAACTCGAATAAAAAATTAACTTCAATTACGTAAATGCTAGGAATCTGAAATTTTATATATAAATTTCTGAACTACAAATGATATAAATGTTATAAATTTTATGGCTATACATGTATATACGTATTTTTAAGTACTTAGTATCAGTTCATCAAAAGTTAATTGGGTTTTGTATTTTGGTAATTACTTGGATTTATGAATAGTAAAAAGTGAAATTTTACATGAACACTCATGAGAAAGCTACAAAATGAGATAATTTCATCTATTGTTTATTATGTATATTTTTCTGTAACTATTCTCACTGCGATATTTTGCATAGAACTAGCAATCGATGCATATAAACTTGCTATCTATTTTGAAGAATAATGGATCAAATGTACAAGTCTGATACCAATCCTTTTTCTGTGTCCAAGTTTAATGGAGAATTGTGTTAGTATATGCTCGCTTTATCATTTCCTTAAAATATATACTGGAATTAGCATTTTATTTGTACGTAATGTTTTTATGAGATAAGATTTTGCTTTAGTATTACGTATATAGAATATTCCGAAGAAATTAAATTAACAATTATAAATATTATCGTTATATAGATTATCTCTCAGAAAACGATATTAAAATGTTTTAAAAGAAACGGATATTAAAAGTCATCCAATTTTAGCTGAATTTGTTATTTGGAAAATCTTTTTAATGACAACCTAGCGCTAATAAGTGTTGAGAAAACTCACTTCCATATCTCGCTAGCGAGAAATAGCAAGATTTTATACTTTCAATAGTAGTTACAGGAATAAAGGAATCTTAAATTATACATGTATCGGTATTCTCCGATTTTAAATGGCTTGATACGTGTAATTTATATTGAAAAATATTTTATAAAAAAATAATTTGATAAGGTAGTATAAAATTATCCCCTCACCAAATAAAATTGTTTTTATAAGCTTTTTTATAAAAGGCATTGATTCCATACCGATACATACGTATCGGTATACTGATAGGAGCGAGTGATGGAAAAAGGCGTACATGTACGTATTATCATTATAATGTGAAGCCACTGATCTTCATCACATCCCTTATTTATATTTTGATGATAACGATATCGGAGATAATCATCAAAAACTGTGATAGATAATCAGTCAAGGACATCTAAAAATATTTGTGATTTTCATAACAAGTAGAAATTAGTCTAACGTTAATCTTTTGGCTTAAATTGGTCCCGTAATTTTTATATTGTTACTTAAAGCCCACATATAACTTTCGAAATTTAATTCTACAAAAATCATAGGTTTTAAAGTAACAATATAAAAACTGCGGGAATAGGTGTCGTGCACTGTACACTAAATTCAGTTTAATAAAAACATGGTGTTATTGTCCAAAGGAACCGAATGACATGTGTTGAATGCTGGTTTAAATTTACTATCGCTATATATTGATTATTTTTATTAAAAAACTATGTATGTCAGATTTGAATTATCATGTATCACCTATCAAAACTTTTAGTGATTGAGAAAAAAACATGTCTCTCCGAAATTAACATGTATACAACATATTTTATCACCTTGATAGTGAACAAAAGTTTGGAATCGGGAAATGATCAGCAATGTAGATCACAAAATTGGACGTTTGGTGACTTTTAATTAATATTACTGAACATACTCCTCCCTTGTAAAGTACTTTCCGGTTTATGCACGGATATTTTTATGGTGCATATTTTTATTTATAGATTTGTATCACTGAGACTATCATCTATGTATGTACAGTACCCCCCAAAAAGTAACGCCCGATTCAAAATTAAACAAAAATTTTAACACTTTTCCGATTTATTTATTTTCAACAATTTATACACCAAATAAAAAATTTTTATTTAATTAATATTTAATTGACCTTCCATTTGACTCAAATACTGCTTCAATTCTTCTTGGCATTGAGGAAATAACATCTTCAAAACAGAAGGATCAAGTTATTCCCATTCCTTCTTTAACGCGATTTTAAGTTCATCTACAGACCGCGGAAAAGCTTCATAATTTTGGACATTATCCT